CACTCACTGTCAATTCCATCCCCCACCCAACCCCCAGGCCTGCCTCAGCCCCGGCGTGACCACCCATCTCTGGCTCCAGTGCTAATAGAACAGCAGGCTCTGAGGCCTCAGCTGGGCCCAGGAGGCTGCTGCCACTCCACTGTGTGATGTGTTCTGTGGTTTAGAGGCCTGTTGGGGTTTAAAATAAATCACCAGAGATGAGGGAGAATTCAGGAAGAGAGGAAGGGAAGCGTACAGCAGGCGTGAGGCCAAGTCTACACACACGACCACATGGTTTCTGACGTCACAGAAACGTGACAGTTTTTTATGTTGTGTAAATTGATGTAAAAGATGTCAAGGATAATTGACTGCTGTTTATTCTTTATTCAATTTATTCCTAAAATACTGGCTGTGGACATACAGATTGAACTTGCTGATTTCATCTATGTTTTTAAGCCTTTGCCAAAATACAGCCCTAGGGATTTATTTTAAATAAACAGTTTTCCTGTTTAATTTGCATCTGTGAAATGGCAGAAACGTCTAGAAATCTGGGAAAACCTTAGGATTCTTTGAATGTATGCCAACTAATACATACAGTTGAAACCAGAAGTTTACATACACTGTATAAAAAGACACAATATTTTCTCATTGTCTGACATGAAATCAGACAATCTTCTTGTAGCCTTGGCCAGCCTTATGTAGTGCCACAATTCTTTTTTTTTAAGGTCCCCAGAGAGTTCCTTGCCATGGTGTGCCATCTTGGGAGTTTCAGTGACCAGTATGACAGAGTGTGAGAGCTGTACTACAAATTGAACACACCTGCTCCCTATTCACACCTGAGACCTAGTAAGAGTAACGAGTCACATGGTATTTTGGAGGGAAAATGACAAGCAGTGCTTTGTTTGGACATTTAGGAGTGTAGTGTCTTTAGGGTGTACTCACTTTTGTTGCCAGGGGTTTAGCTATTAATGGCTATATTTTGAGTTTTTTTGAAGGGAAAAATAAATTTACACTGCTATATAAGCTTTACACAGACTACTTTTCATTGTGTCAAAGCGATGTTTCTTCAGTGTTGTTCTATTAAACATTATAATGAAATCTCTGCAGAAATGTGAGGGGTGTACTCACTTTTGTGACATACTGTACAGTTGAAACCAGAAGTTTAGATACACTGTACAAAAAGACAATAAATTCTACGCAAGTATAAACAACATGGGAATGTCCAGCCATCATACCGCTTAGGAAGGAGACTGGTTCTGTGTCCCAGAGATAACGGGATTTGGTCAGAACTGTGTGTATCAACCCAAGAGCAAAGGCAAAATACCTTGTGAAGATGATGGCTGAAGCTGGTTAGAGTGTGTCATTATCCACAGTGAAACGAGTACTGTACTGGCATGGGCTGAAAGGCCACTCTGCCAGGAGGAACCCATTACTCCAAAAGAAACACAAAAAAGCCAGATTACAGTTTACAAATGCACACAGGAAAAAATACCTTAATTTTTGAAGACGTCCTGTGGTCGGATAAAACTAAACTCAAACTGTTTGGCCATAATGACCACCGTTACGTTTGGAGGGAAAAGGGGGAAGTCTGCAGTCTGAGAACACTATACCAACTGTGAAACATGGTGGTGGCAGCATTATGTTGTGGGGTTGTTTTGCTGCAGGACAAACTGGTGCACTTAACAAAATAGATGGCATCATGAAGAAAGAAAACTATGTGGAGATATTGAACCAACATCTGAAAACATCTGCCAGGAAGTTAAGGCTTGGCCACAAATTGGTCTTCGAAATGGACAATGACCCAAAGCATACTGCCAAACTGGTTAGAAAATGGGAGACATGAGACATGAAAAGAGGACAACAAAGTCAATGTTTTGGCGTGGCCATCACAAAGCCCCGATCTCAATCCTATTGAGCATTTATGGGCAGAGCTAATACGACATGTGCATGCAGGTGGCCTACAAACATGGAACACTACAACATACCAGTTCTGTCAGGAGGAATGGGCCGAAATTCCTGCCAAGTATTGTGAAAAGCTTGTAGAAGGATATCCAAAACCTTTGACCCAAGTCATACAGTTTAAAGGCAATTCTACAAAATACTAATGAAATGTATGTGCACTTTTGACTTTCAAGACCATAATAAAAACATTGTCTAAAATTCTCTCTCTCATTACTCTGGCATTAGAAATAATTTTGGTAATCCAGAACCGCCTAAACAGGAAAAGTTTAATCTGATTTAATGTCAGACGGTGAGAAAAAAAGGATTGTGTCTCTTTTTATACAGTGTATGTAAACTTCTGGGTTCAACTGTACATTAGAAATGTCTGTTTAAAAAAGAAATTAACTCATCAACAAACTTGCAATCATTTTTATTGTCTTGCCCTGGTTTGTGTGCAAATTTGGGCTTTGTTTTTCTTTTTTTTTTTTCTTTTTTTAAAGTGTTTTTTTTTTTTGTTCCTCTCTCAAACAGCTGGGCCGTACTCCGGCCTGGGAGAGATCGTCCACAGAGAGAGTGTCCCCATGCACACCTTCGCCCGCTATCTCTTCACCTCGCTCCTACCTCATGGCGCTGAACTGGCGTACAAAATTGCACTGAGAGTCATGCGGTAGGTCTCTGAGTTTTTGGGTTCGCTTGTCCATCCCTTTTCATCATGTCAATAGCCTCTAAATCAAAATGTAACAGTTTCCATTACAAGATAAAATGCTGCCATTTGGAGAACATAAATCCTCTATAGTTTAGGCTAATGGAGCCCATAAAGCCCTGCTGCACCACCAGAAGGTGGGAGATCAGTTTGACCAGATTCCAGATTCTTTTCAACTATTTTCGTCCAAATATCCATGCAGACTTGTTAAGCTTTGATGACGGTAACAGTAACTAATCTGGATTTTAAGAGGACAATAATATGTCTTGTGGGTTTTCCCTTTACTTTATTGTGTTTACCTTTTTATGCATGTAAAATTTTAAAAAATCTTGGACCTTTGCGTTTCTTCTTTCAAAATTTTGCACTGGTGGTTCCTAGATAATTACATCTGAATTTTCAAACTATATCAGAAGATTTGGTTGTGTCATGGTGGGTGATGTGGCCCAAAATGGAGAAATGAGCACTTACCACTTGTTAAACCTGCTGCTCTGTTCTTGTCTGTAGAATTTTTTTTGCAAATTCTGGTTTCTTATCTGGTTTATTATATTTTAAAAATATAATACAATGTTTGATTTGCATTTTTAGGGTTAATTATTGCTAACACTAAAGTGATTGTGACCAGGTTTGAACTAATAAGGAAGCCTTGACTGGTGCCACAAGAAAATATGACAACAATATGTCCAACAATCTATATACACTTTATTTACAGCATATTTTGTATATAATTATTATTATTATTATTATTTTAGAATAGTTTGTTTAGAATAGTCTTTTTGTTCTTTCTGTTTTATTAGACACTGCTCACTGACATGTACCAGTTCTTTTACTGATCAGAAAATACCAGTTAGCCCCCGACACTGCTCAGTACTGCCTTCAGATTGCACCCCACTCTTCCTGCTTCCTGTTCAGCTGTGAACCCTGCTATTGTAATCCAATGCAGTTTGTCATTTCATTGTGAAATAATTTCCAATGACTTTTACTCAGTGTTTATATACTGGCCTGTTTTTTTTCTGTCACTTAATGTTCAGCAGCTTGTGAATGGCCTCTTGTAGTCACTCCTTTATAAAAACTAGCCTGCTGCTCTGTCCAAAATTCACCCCGACCCTCTTCAATCCACTTCGCTTGATTTTAATTTTTTTGCAAGGCTAATCATACTACAGGGAAAGTTCATGTTCATCAGTGGTAAGTAATTGCCAAAAAGTTATACATATTTTGTGAAAAAAAATTATAATATTCTGACAGTTTCTTATTCCAGAAGTGTGTGTCTTTCAAGCTCTAAAGTTTGTGTTCATTTGCAGACACTGTGTTCATGTGTGTGTGGGTTTAGCAGTGTGTGCTCCTGTGTTTTGATGTTGTGACTAGTGGGAGCTGGATCAGTGAATATTATTTACATTAATGAGTGTGTAATTAGTGTGGCTGTAAATGAGGAGAACACATACACGTGCAGGGCTGAGAGAGGGGCAATGTGGGGAAATGTTTGCTGTGTTTTCACTGAGCACAGCCTCCATAAATCCATCACTGTTAAACTAGTAAATGATTATGAATGAAGAAGAAATGTTTGTTTTTTTTTCTTTTTCCGCCATGATTAGAGATGCGGATAACTAAAGCAAACAAGGAACACATCAGGCCCAGTTTTGTGCAGTTAAACAATTTAGAATCAGGAACTGAAATAACATGCTGAAAACACCGAAACAACACGTTTGACTTTTTCATTTAAGGGTTGTGTGGTTGCAAGGTTACGCACTTGGCCGTTGTGCAACCCATGTCTTTTTCTAGAGACAACTGCTCCCCACCTTCCCTCTGCTGCTTCCCCTCACCTACCCCGTTTCCTCAAGTAACCTCCTCCATCCTCACTCCTGTGGTGTGAAACCAGCGATTTCGAATAACATGGCCAATTATGGCCGCTCCTGGGAACCAGGGGTGTCTGCTCAGCACATAATGAATGTGTGTAATGTAGCGTAGTGTAGTATGATAGCATATACCTCTCGCTCCCATGGGATGGCCGATAGTTAAATATAGAGGAGGTGGTAAAGTAACCAGTGCTATTTTAATGGACCCATTATAACACTATCATTGATACAAGAGGAAAGAGAAAGTCTAGCTCTGACTCTCATTTGTTGTGCTGCCATTTGCTTTCATGTTCATTTTAGAAAAAAAAATGCCATTAAAAAGTAGCTACATATTGGCCAGGGTGATGGACTAAGAGGAGCATTTGATTGGACTTGGTGGGAGTGAGGACACTGATTTCTGGAGCCGTATACCTCCGGCAATTTAGCAAAACCTTAATTTTTCTCAGATTTTTTTTAACTTTTCAATTTTTTTTCTTGCAATTCAACGCACCACTAAATCAAATTAGCTATTTCAAAAGAGGGACACTCTAAGTATAATTTATTTAAATATTTTTTCTTCTTTTATATGCTTTAAGTTCATCTGCAATAGCATTTCTTCACAAAAATTGTGGATTTTTTCCCATAAACCCCGACTATATGTACTGTCTATTTTTACCTGATATTTTCATTTGCCTCTGGCTCCACACACAATGATGCATCCCTGCCCCTGTAATGTCAAGATGCCTTAGTATTAAACATCTATGAAGTGAGATTTCAGGGCCAGGACTGAGGTCATGTGCAGTGTGACTCCGCTCCTTTTTCCAGGTTACTGAAGTTTTTTCTGCCTCTAGTGGGATTGTGTAAAGAGTGGATATTTTCAGCGGATATGTCAGGGAGCAGACAAACATATTCTGGATAGATTATAAAAAGTGAAGGGTGTTTATCGTCAGAGGGGAAAAAGAACACGAGGCTGAGAAATTGGTGATCGTGGTGATCCTGAGCAGAAACCCAAAGCCCTGGGATTTGCGGAAAAACCTTGCAGGGCTGTTCTTTATCAGTGTCTTTCTCTCTCTCCTTTTTGATTTCTTTCTTCTCAGTGGCCTCTGTTACTCTCTCCTTCCTCTTCTCCTCCCTGGCTTCCTTCTTGCCCTCACTCCCACTGTTCAATTTTCAACATCAGCTTCTTCCTCCTCTTTGTTCTTCATGTTCTCCTTCACCTTCCTCCTCTGCTCCTTCTTCCTTTTCTTGTGGATTTTCTTCATTGTTATACTCCTTTCCTTTTCCTTCACTTACTCCATCTATTCTGATCTATTCTCCATCTTTCCCGACTTTTTTCCCCTCCTCATTGTTCTTCTAATCCCTCACCCTAAATTATTTTTCATCTTTATTTGTTTTTGTTTTTTGTTTTCTTCCACCTCCTCATCCTTTTTGGCCTTCCTCCCCATTCCCTCTGCTCTCCTCGTTGCTGCCCTCCCTTTCCTCTCAGTCTACTTGTTTCCTCTTGTTCATTTTAATTCCTTTTTTCTCCGTCTCTTTTTCTTTTATTCCTACTGCGTCCTACTCTTCCCCATCTCCTCCTCCTCGACCTTTTACACCTTTTACGTACATTTCTGTGTACGTCTGAGGATTTGAATGTTTTAAGACAACATTCAAACTGGCTGGACCCGTTAGTTTTAACGACCCGATTGTCCGTCTGCATGTCTCTGACACATGGCGTCCGTCAGTCCTTGGTCTGCCCTGGCTTCAAAAACACAATCCACACCTTGACTGGTCAGCAGGGAAGGTGGTGAGTTGGAGCTCTTTTTGCCATGCTTCATGTCTGCAGTCTGCTCTCACACCTGTGAAAACTGAGTCTCCCTCCTCTACTCCCGAGTCTCCTGATTTAGCATCTATTCCTTCAGTCTACCATGACTTAGGAGAGGTTTTCAGTAAACAACAAGCTCTTTCTCTGCCTCCTCATCGTCCCTATGACTGCGCTATTAATATCCTTCCAGGTGCTTACCTGCCCTCTAGTCGACTGTATAACCTATCTCGTCCAGAGAGAGAGGCGATGGAAAGATACATTCATGACTCTCTGGCCGCAGGAATCATCCATCCCTCCTCTTCTCCTCTGGGTGCTGGTTTCTTCTTTGTATCAAAAAAGGAAGACTCTGCGACCATGCATTGACTACCGTGGACTTAACAACATCACCATAAAGAACAAATATCCTTTGCC